AGTGAACTTTATGTGAGTATTATAACACACACACAGTCACACACATGCACACACACAGAGAGACACATGCACACAGAGACACAGACACACATACACTCATGCACACACACACACACAATGGTAAGGTTAAACCTTCTGACATGCGGTGGGGAGGGTGGAGGTCAGAGCAGAGGAGCTGTCCACGCCCCTGGTGCTGACCGTCATGATCAGGTTCCATTGAATCTCGGTGATGATCAAATCCGCAGCAGTCCCTGACTCCCAAGTGTCGGCCCCAACAGCAAAGACACAGAGAGGGGAGATAGGAGCTGGGCGGGAGCTGTCAGGACTGACAGGAGTCTGACCTCAGCCCTAGCCGCATTCCCAAAGATGAGGGGGATGGGATGATAGGGAGACTTAGGGCTGAGATGAGGAAGAGGACGGGGAGTCAGCTGACCTGCAGCTGGGGTCCTGGGTGCTTGGCCGCTCTGGGCAGCACAGTCATGGGGACACCGAGGGTCTCCACAGCTCACCCCCACCAGCCCTGACCTGCTGAGAAGACACTGGGGCTGCAGCAGTGGCCTCTGGGTCCTGGGTCACAGCCCAGCAGGTTGTGCTGGCCTCGTTCCTGGAGACACAGCCCCTCTGGGACATGGGGTCCTTCCTCACCACGTTATGAGGACACACCAGGGCAGGGGTCCAGCCTGACCACCAGGCTCCACAGGAAGCAGACTCTTCAGTCCCTGAAATGCTGACCTTGAGCCTGAGCAAACACTGACAAGGCCTCCTCCTGGGCAGCCAGAGGGGAGGGCACTCCTGGGCCTGGGGAGCCCTCCCCCTCCTGCTGCATACCTGACATTCCCCAGCACATTCTTCCCTGGGCCCTGGGCGGGGCTCGCTGGGGCAGGTGGAGAGAACTGCCCCACCACCAGGAGGGGGACTCCTGCTTCCTCCTGGGGGAAGGGTGAGCAGGTAGGAGCAGGTAGAGTCCGCATTGACCCAGATTCACACCCAGGAGCCTGGCTCTGCCAGCCCCACCCAGGAGCCCGGGACCTCCTCCCTGGGTCTCCTCCAGGGGCGTCTGTGAGCAGGGCTCTCCTGCAAGGCTTTGGGAGGCCCCTGGGTGGCAGCTCAGGAGACCTGGGCTCCAGTGCAGCCCGAGACACTGACCAGCAGTGGGACCACGGCCAGGGTCTAGGTGGCATCCAGAGATGGAGGATTAAACCCAGGGCCATCTGAGGTCAGGATCTCACATTGACCATCTGGGAATACAGGGCCTTCTTCACTCCTGGGACAACCCGGGACCAAGACCTGAGAGTCCACGGCAGCTAGCACAGCCCGGGGCCTGGTCTTGTTACCGGAGAAACTGCAAGGTTCTTGTCTTCGCGCAAGAAAGAGTTCAGATGTGAGACAGAGAGTAGTGGGAGGTAAAATAGCAAGGTTTATATTAGGGAAGGGACACCCGTAAGGATGGATGGGCACCTCTCCAGACAGGACCTGAGAGATAGTGCACAGTCGCTCGGACTGGGCGGGGGGGGGGGGCAGGTTACATGGTTGAGTAGAGAGAGTACACCTGGCGAGACCAGGCGTGCGGCTCAGCAGAGAGGCAGAGGGCTGAGTGCACAGTCCAGTTGAGGCCAAGGGTTTTTAAGGAGATAGGTCTTGCTTCCCCACCTCTGCTCCTCTTGGAACAAAGGGCTTTTTGGATGTAAATAGAAAAACTTCTATTTGAGTTTTCCCCTCAAGGTATCAGACAGGAGGAAGCCTAGCTGGCACCATTCTGGGTTCAGAGGAAGGGTGAGCAAGACCCCTGGAGAACAGGGATTCGGAGAAGCAGGGTGTTTGAAGTGCAGATACTAGGCTGCACCTGGGAGATTGTGGAAGATTTGTCAGGCAGAAGAGCGGGGGACCTCCACCTGGCAGGTCATCAGGTAGAAGGGGGCAGGGCAGGACGCGAATACCGGGCTGCCCCTGAAACATTGTCAGGATGACTTTGAGATCAGATGCATCTGCTGGACATAGATGTCTTCTCTTTAGGCCTTTATGTCACACACGCATAAGCTCATCACTGACTTCCTACCTAACAGTCTCAGAGCTGGAGCCCGTGTGCAAGGCAGACCTGTCCCCAGAGAGTGACCCCAGAGCGGGCAGGATCGGGCAGGGGCTAGAGGTGCTGGGGGAGGAAGTGGGCAGTGTGTGGGCAGCGTTTTAGCCATGTGAAAAGGGGCAGGGACAGGATGTGACCCAGGGCTCTCTGACCCCAAAGCCTCATGACACTGAGTCTGGGCTGTCAGCGTCCACGGAGGCCTGGGCTGTGCCTGCCGCCCTCCCGCACCCCAGCC